GGGCCAGGTTGGCACTTCCTGTGGACTCTCATCCTCTTTCTCACCAAAGAACCATGGGATACAGCTCTTTCTCTACTTTTAAAATCTCATTTATTGTAAATTTTGATTTTTGTTATGTCCTTTGATATAATGTACACAGTATCAGTGGATATAATTTAGAATTAAGTAAGTGTGCACTTCAGGGGAGTGTCCCTCCATGGGTGGCAAGAGTGAAGGTGCTCTGTTATGCCCAGATGTGGATTTTGAATGGAGCCAGCGCAGTTTTCAGGAGAAGGTAAAATCATGACTCTATAGAGTTATAAATAGGAATACATGCTAAAGATTTTTTAAAAACTCATTCACAGAGGAAAGCAGGCAGATGTTAAAACTGGCTCAAAAGAGATTTCAAAGAATGTAATTATCTCTTGAGTTGTAAAATAGCTCTAACAGCATGATTGTGGCTGGAATCAGAAAGTCTGCACAGTGTTGTGCAGCACAAGCAAATTGCAGCAGGGCCATAGAGACAGGGCTGTGAACAGCAGAGGAAAGCTGAGTCGTGTTTGGGGGAAGAGCCTTGTATTTCAGTACAGAGTGGTCTGTGGTGATAGGTGAAGATGAACAAATAAGCAAAAAGCTTATCATTGGAAAGAGAGGTAGACTGTCACTGGTTTTCATCTGCTTTAATTGTGTCTAAGTTTTACAAATACAGTAGCTCTCCCTTATTCACAAACATATGTTCTGAGAGCCACAAAGATGTCTCAAACAGTAGAAAATACTAAGCCCCACATATCAGTGGTCCTCATCTTTTTGCCCCCGAAACTGGCTTTGTGGGAGGCAGATCTTCCATGGGATGGGGGAGAGTGTTCATGGAAGCCAGCAGCCTAGAACTCTGAATGCACAGTTCACATGGGAATTGGAAGCAGCTGCTGATCTGACAGGAGGTGGCATTCAGGCTGTGATGTGAGACATGAGGAGGGGTTGTGAATACAGATGAGGCTTTGCTTGCTCACTTCTCTCTCATGTCCTGCTGGGTGACCCTGTTCTTATCAGTTCATGAATTGGTATCAATCTTAGGCCAGAGACTGGGGATTCCTGCTTTGTGTATTTTGTTTTCTTTTCTATAAACCTAGCAGTGTTGCCACGTAATATCAGGACTAATCAGTCCTTCCATAGTTTGTGCTCTGATGCCTCCTTTAAATCACTACTCCTTAAAGAGCTGAGCTAAGGGGCACATGGAGAGAAAACACTCTCTCAGGCTTTCACAGAGAGCACATTGGCCAAGCAATGGCCGTGACTCATCCCCATGGCTGACACTGTCAAAGGTT